TTATTTGTCATCAAACTGCAAATGTTTATGCATTTATAACGAATGGAAATATGGGGAAAAAGATAAGACATACTTTCGTTTAATCAGACCAATTTTCATCCCTAAATCGATTTTAACGTACAAATTTAGTGTATCACTTTAACATTGTATATTTTTTAATATCTAAAAGGCACCGAGATCGTAAGAAACAATAATTTTTATATAAAAGCAAACCTGCGCATATACATTCCTACATATTTTTAGAGTAGAATTTCCGTAAATTAAAGTTTATTATTTTTAACGTTAACCTCTTATTTATTTTCTTATTAATTTTATTTTAAATTGGTTGCTGTACGAATACTTCTTACACTGACTATATGTCAGCATCCCTCAAGAGGTTAACCATTCATAATTCTATCACTACCATAAATATAAAATGGAACTCCGTATGTAAATGATGATCGCGAGAACATTTTCGTGTTCGATCCCCTGGAAATACGAGAGGAAAAGAAAAGCTCGCATGACCTAGGAAACGACGCGATAAATCGAAGATATCGTAGTGGCTATAGGAGAAGCTTCGTGTACGCTTTAATAAGCCAGCCGGACTCGAACGAAACGCTTAAAAGGAAGAACGCATTTCGCGATTAACCAGCAGATAATTCCATGTTTTCCCGGGATGGATTCGTGCGGGTCGCGGGACCGCGTAAATGGAAGCGTTCGATGAAGGGTACAGTTAATTAATTATCGGCCAGCAACGTTTCTTGAACCCCCGAGGACAGGACAATGAACGCGTTAACCGGCACCGGCGTTACTATTTCGCCAATGCCAAATTAAGACCGGCCACCTTGTACGGAGTCGTCTCTGCATTCGTAACGAGTACCAGGGGCTCGTTTTAATTAATGGAACTTCTTTAAAATCGCGACTACGCCCACGCCTCGTGGCGACCGTCAATCTCCATTGAGTACAATTACGAACTGTTTGATCGGCAGCGCGAAAAAAATTATTGAAATACCTGATAATTATTTTCACGTTCACAATAGACAACCTTGTACATTAATTAATAAATCTAATAGTTTACAAGAATTTTACCACTTATATTCATTCTATCCTATTCGAGCACAATATTCAAATTTAGTAAATTTTTTCAATTAATTCATAATAAAATCGTACGAAGCAGTGATGAATTCTCAAAATGTAACAACACACTGAATACAAATATTTGCTTGCTTACACCTTTTTGAGAAAGTATCCGCAATACTTGGTGCCATCGAAGACAGAGTCAACATATTCTAATCATCCCCCTAAGTCATCCCCCTAAGTACCCTACGAAACACACCTTCAGAATCTATTAGGTTGTCCCGAAAGTTTCTTTCGCGAGTTGCACTCAATTATTTTATGTGATCGTGTTTATATAAATAGACAATCTAATTTCATACATATTCATGTTGTAAGAGTAACGGAGCAAAATGAATCGTGCACAATTCAGTAATGTAACATAAAACATAAAATATTGTGCATGTATTACTTATTAACTTATTAACTAACGAAATTAATTCCGAATGTCAAGCATCAAAGGAAATGAATATTTAAACCAAATTCACGAATTTTGATGAAATTACAAGAATAAATACGTCGATAAATGTTTGATTATGCAGTCTCCAATAGTTTAAATAATATTTCATTTTAGTACAAAACCTTAAAGAATATTTGTCTGCCAGTCAACGTGTTAATAAAGCGAAAGAAACTTTTGGGACAACCTAATACAACCTCCTTGTTCCCTAATTTTCCCACCGTGCAACTCGCAATCATTTCCACAGCGAATCTCGTCACGCACGCGACAAAACGCTCGAGAGCACGCTCCTCGATTCCTTGGGATCGAAGCGTCCTTTCGGAGCCAAAGGGCAGTTTCACCGAAATTCCGCTCGGAAGCAACGAATGGCAAGGAGCCGTGTTCTTTGTCCTCGCGCGTTCGACTCGGCCAGTCCCTTATTTGGCAGAAAGATAAGCAGTTCGCGCGTCCAGTAAATCGGCGATTTAAGGTGCGCCCCGTGTCGGTGAGCCGCGAGAGGAAGATAGCGAGCGTGAAGCGTGAAGCGGGCTGGGATATCGAATAGAGCAGGCTGCCCGCGACTGGCTCGCCCGAAGGAAGGACAGGTTCGCGTTGCTCAGACAGGTTCGTTCGCGAAAAACTTCAATTTGTCTCGCGCGGTCCCGCCAGGGTATCACGGCTGGATAACGCGCGAGGGAAACTCGCGCGTTGGACGTCCTTCGGGTATTTTATCGCTCGAGGCGCGACGAGGAATATCCGTACTTGGAATTCACTTTTTGAGGAAGGTGGGAGACGGAGAACAATTGGATTTATTACGGGGACCTGGTGTCTTTATTGTTATTGGATGTTAAAGACTTAGAGAGAGGCTGAAGAGTGAAATTGATTTAAGAGGGGAGAACATTATAGCAATAGTTAAATTAAATACATTTAAAATTATAAAGCGATAAGAGAATCTTTTGATAGTACGAGAATGTATATATAGTCAGTCTCACATGTATTTGTATCTTCAATATCTATTGAAGAAACTTGCCTAAATTAAATTATAGGTTTTATATTTTCAAATAAATTTTTCATTACAAGTATATACATGTGTAGAGTTTATTTAATTTAGGCAAATTGTTTCGATAGACATAGAGGGAACGAATACTTATGAGACTGATTGTATATGTGTGTATGAAGAAACGCTATACTTGTAACTTAATACCTACAGAATAGAGATTTCGATAAATAAAATTACAATAATCCTCCAGTACCTACTTTCAATTAAAATAAACGGTCTAAAAAGAATAAAAGACACATTGGATGAGTCGACTAAAAGTCTGAAATTAAACACACCACCGTGGGAAGTGGTAACGAAGCGTTTCGCGTCGAAGCTGTCCGTGGTTGATTATGAGAGTTTCGTGTCGGCATCTTCTAACCCGGGACGGTCCTTCCCAGGCCCCTGACGGTGGCCAAAATTCTTCTTTTTTTCATCGGGCTCAACGGCGAGAGACCGTATTAGGAAACCTGCAGTCATTGTGCGCGCCACCCTGAACGACGACGGCTACGACACGTGCTTCGAAAAATCGCGCACAACGTTTCTGCGTCAAATTCACGGGGCTGTCCACGAAACAATGCCAAGCGATTTGGTCGTCCACAGAATGTTAACGAAAATATTTTCTCTGGCTTAAACCAACAGGAAAAGTCACCTAAATAACCATAGTCGAGTTTAACGAAGCTTGGCATGTAACATAAGCATTGAAGGATGCAGCATTCATACCTTTTCTTTGTTATAATATTTATAGCGGAGAGATAGAAAGTAATCAATTGTCTATTTGCAATATTTGTGAAATACAAATTATTATTATTACACAGTAAGGTATTGTTTATTGCCAAATTTAGTCTCACTTATGGAATTTAGCGAGTCTGGAACTTTTTCATCCTCAAACGTGTCTTTAAAAAGAGATTTTAACTTGTATTTCATATAATAAAGTGCATCATATTTCATTATTCCTTAAATGGACTGACTCCAATTTGCATTTTACTTTTATATTTATATTAAAACAACTCTATACACTTAAAGAAGTGTCTAAACTATACCAATTTTGTTTTCTTTTTGCGATTTACACTTATTTTCGCACAGAAAGTCACCATCTTGGTTTGGACTACATTCCAACGAACCGATCTTCCCTGTAATTATCCTAATCGAGTCCAAAGTGATTATACCAGGTCCAATCACGGTCAGTTCCATAAAAATTCGCGAAACACGTCGTGGAAATGTTCTTCCTTCGAGTGATGCTGTACGAAGATGCTTTTGTCGCGGAGGCTCCGAAGAGCGCCGCTTCACAGCCGCGTCCACATCGACCGACGATAAAAACTGTTCAAGGTGAGCCAGAGAGACGTATGAATGGGCGTATGCATGAATGGCTAGCTGTACGCACCGACCAGGGACCGATCAACTGGTGTGCGTGTGTTCGCACGCATCCTTGTTCCCTTTCTGTGTGCACTCTACGCGATAGTGTGCGCGCACGTGTACCTGTTCGACCAAGTTGCGTCGTGGACGCCGTGCACACGGATCCACCGATCCGATGCATCAATGAAAGGTTCGGGGGACGTTTAATTAAGTTTTCTTCGAGAAACCTTTTTCACCACTCCCATGCATATACATCACGGGCTGAAAGATTGAGACCACCTTCTGCGTCGTACGGGGTCCCGCGGAACCATAAATCAACATTTTATTACTCGAGAAAATTCAAATATTGGGGGAAGATTGAGATTAGTGAAAAGTAGATCTGTTACGATGAATATTGTGTAGGGTTGATTTATTGCGATGGAAAGCACCGAGGGAGGGCTTAAAATGATTAATAACGTGACATTTTTAATGCTACGTTTACGGAGGCTTGAAATATCTACGCTGAATTATTTTTTTTGGGGAGGGGTGGGGGAAGGAGGGTGTTTAATTTCTGAAAACTTTTTGATCACGTTTATGGTTCCAATTTGTATTTTACTTTTATATTTATATAGAAACAACTGTATTCGCTTAAGTAAGTGTCGAAATTATACCCATTTTGTTTTTTCCTTGTTGATTTACACCTTTCTTTATAGAAAGGCACAATTTTGGTTAAGACTAAATGCTTTTTTTAAATATTCGAACTTGAGGGTGGTTTGAAAAAGACTGAAAGTCCACGTAACACGCAGTATCTCAAATAAATATATATTGAAATTCAAATGTGCCTTTGAATTTTTCTTAAAAATTAACACGAACTCCCTGGACAACGAATAAATACAATTCAAAGAAATTAACTCTCGTCCAGCATCAGTCGATACTATCTTCGACTTTATATCTGAAACAGTCACTATAAACGCCCTTATCGTGTACATTTACAAGCACGCATAGTGCAAAGTACGGAATCTCTTCCATCGGTGGATGCATTAAATCTTGAAATTTATTGCTACATTAATCCTCCGGCAATCAACAAGTAAATACGGTAAATATAAGTAACAATTACGCTTTATTATTACAGACTATAAGAATTGATCAATTTACAATCGGCAATACGTACAAAATGGCTCTAACGTGTCGCTGCACAGGATAATAACGATATGGATATAGGACGGTTCCTGTTGCACTCTTTTCTCGTTATTTCGATACGATCATCGTTCGAGCGCTATTATTTTTTCGCACGATGGAGCTCCGTCGACGACCGAACCGCGGTATGGTATGTTGGAAAAGAGAAATCGGTGAATATACGAGTACGAGTCATATCTAAGGACCCGATAAACTAATCGCGAACCTCAGGTACGATCGTTTTCATTCACGCTTCCACCATCCGTTCGAACGTTCATCGGTTCACCCAACAAATGTTTTCAGACTTTCGTCGCTCCGTCGACATCTCGATACGCGCACAAAAGGCACGGTTCTTTCTCGATTCGTACATACATTCACCCTTTCGTCGCATTCTGCCGTATGCGCACATAAATAAATCGCTATATAATAATAATAATAATAATAATAATAAAAAGAAAAACACGGCATTTGATTTAACAAAGAGTATAAACAAGACTAGATTTCGTTAGGCGTTATTAAATAATTCGCGTGTGTAACTTACGATTAAAAAAAAAAATATATATATATATGTATATGTGATATAATGATAACGACGGGCATTCTCTACGGCCATACTTTCGTATTCTGTTCTGTTCCGAGTCTTGATCTCTCTCACGCTCGCTATCTCCGTTTCGCTCTTACGAGACGTCTCACCTGGGCACTTTTTAAGTAACGTTATTCGAAGTTTGATTATTTTCATTCTTGTACGGTTATTTTATTTTTGAAATCCAATTGGATTATCTTATTTCACGAAATTATTTTTGTAAATAATATTTCTGCACCGTATCCGACCAATTTTGAGGTAACACTATTTTAAATCCATTTATTCTCATCATTTTACAAAACGTTGTTTATTATTAATATTATTTGAGATCCTTTATGTAAAAGAAACACGTTACATTTTTGCATGATTATTTCATTTCGAAATACAATTACATTGTCGTATTGTACGAAATAATTTTGAAAATCATATTTCCCTATTTAAAATAATGAAGTTATTATTTATTATTGGAAAAAACCAACGTATCGTAAATTTCTCTGTATTATTCAAATGATAAAATTGCATGGTCTACCGAGAGAAAACAATTTTCATAAAAAATATAGTTCACTGACATTTTGCATATCTATGTTCATGTATGTGTTTACACTTTTAAATACACAGACGTGGTAATAATTTCTACAAAACGTACCTACGAAGAATTTTTTTTAATAAATTTTTGATAAATTATTGTATCACGCAAACTATATGAATGTTACCTCACAGTTTAATTTATTTAGACACTATTTAAACACTCAAATAAATCAATGGATGAATGATGCTCAACTAACTTTATTCCTGAAAAATAAAAACCAAAATCGTTCTTAAATATAGTCACGCCTGATTTTCCTCCGAAAGTAAACTATGCCCAGGTCTGCGAGGCTAGCCACGCGAAATGCATTGCAAAATCGGCGGAGGAAAGTTCTCAGGGTGGTTGGTCGAGCCGATAGAAACCTGAATTTATCGCCTGACGCCCCTTAACGCAGATTATCGTCGCATCCGCTTCTAATCGGTGAGCACGAAACCACTCTTTGGTTAACACGTTCTTTCAGCGCTATGTACATTCCAGTCTCCCATCTTTGGCACGGAACTACGATCGAATTTACATTATTATTAAATCGCCTCACGGCGATAACGTCGCCGCGAATCACCGCCTATTTTCTCTCTCCGCTCTCCCGCTCACCTTGCGCGATTACTAATTACAGTCCTCGTACATGAATCGAACGAGCCGTCTTGTTTCTCGCGAAACGATCGATCGAAACGCTGTTAAACGACGCGTCGACACCGGTACACCCACTTGCCGATTTATGGATCGTTTAAGTGGATTAAACGATCGGGACGATCGATTTCGTGTCTGTTGCGTCTCATTGTCTAAACGACACAATGAAATAGAGCAAGAAGTAGCACGACAGGCAGGGAGGAATCGACGATGGTGGTAGCATGTCTTGGATGGTAAGAAAATTGATTAGGTATTGGTAATATACAGTGCGCCACATAATTTCACGTTCACTCACGTTTTTGATCGTATGTTTCTGATTGAAATTTTTACCAATTTAGTTCGTACTAACAATTTACTGTCTTGGATGGTAAGACAATGAATCAAATATTACTAATGTACAGTGTGACACAGATTTACGGTCACTCAAATTTTTGGTCATCAATTTTTTAATAAAATGGTTTTGCAATTTTTAGCAGCATGAGTTCATATTAACGCTTTACTTCCCACGAGGTTTGAGCTATCAGCATAACAGAGTCATATTGTCGACAGATTCTTTCAAGGTTCGTTACTAGCTTTTTATTAATATCCTGATCGTTCCCGCCTTCTGTGTCATATCACAGACGACAGTCGACACGCCCGCGTAGCTAATAAAACGAGATGACGACGAAATCCTTGTACTATATTTGCCACTTAATGAAACTAATTCAATCATCGATTGGATCGCGACTGTTTACGACTGTGTGCTTCTCATTGATTTCAAGTGTCATTTAGTTTCAATTTATTTCAATTCAGGTGTTTGCATATCAGCAAGTGAGTGTAAGCACGTCGCTGTTTGAAAATTTTACAATATATACTTATACAAGAGTAGGTACGTTCCATTGTAAATATTTATTGCGTTGACTTTAAACCGTTTTTATAAGAAAGAATCAAGACAGTCGTTCGATAGAAATACTTCTCGATATCGAACGAGATATGCGACGGCGAATACCGCGAATAGGTCGAACCCCCGTTGACATAAATTCCTCTAGTCATTGTATTCTCATTTCGACCCATCTACAAATTGCGCGAGAACTCCTAACGATATGGTAATAAGGCAGTTAGACATCGTTGAATGCAATAAATGCAAGTAACGTTTGCAGCAGCGACGAAGACGTTGCACTTTCAGGCGCACGTTAAAGCTCCTTCGCAAAAATAAATTCGTTTCAGCAGTGTTTGTCCTTCTCCGCTCAATGTTAATATGTTTGTGCATTAAACGCTTTCACAGACCTGGACATTAATCAAAGTCAGAATGATTAATTTAATTGTATTTCATCGAACGTTATTTTCTGATCATTTTTCTGATGACACTTTAATTTATTTAAATTAGAAGACTTTTTTTTCTCTGAACTACTTCGTTATTACATTTCCAAACGAATTATGTTTATATCGCAACAAATGCTCTTCAAATATTTCTTTGTGCATGTTTAAAATATAGAATTTAGAATTCAGTTTAAAGAATATTTTGAATAGTTAAAATGTCTTGCTTTAATTTTCCTTGCCATAAAAATCATTAATTCAAAGGATTATTTGAAACACTATTTCTCCTTACGTGCCGCAAGTAATTTCTGCCCAGATCTGCTTTTAAGTATTCGGTATAGATTTTATCTTTTAATAACAATTTTTCAAATTTAGTACAACTTTCTACCATATTGAGAGACCTTCTCACTTTAGAGGTTTTAGAAAATCCACCACGGTATATTCCAAAGGATATGCAACAATTATTTTCCTTCCAATAAATTCCGAGGTCGTTCCATTTTTGCGCCCCTAAAGTTAGAAGACCTTCCCATAAAAGTTTCTTCCAAAAATATACCTCCGTTTCTTCCAAGTATCACCTTCTTCTAAATCAGCCAAACTCCATCACTCGTAAACAAACAGTAAGGCCACTTTCGTCCGCTTTGAGCTATTAAGTTTCGATTAATTAAAAATCAGTACCATGATTCAAGAGGCACATTTAACATCAAACACACTTCAAACTGTCGAAATGAAAGAAAAATTGAAAGAAAAATTGAAACAAACTCAGACCTCCCGTAACCCCTCCAACGCCTTCAACGCGACAGAACACAAAATCTGAGATCAGACAGATATCCCTCTCGAAACCTCCTATTTTCTTCGCACCTGGTCACGCGCTATCAACCTTCAGATTGCACCAAGCTACTTCTTATCCTCGGTACATCGACGTGACACCAGCAAAAATTACGTCAAGGTATAACCGATCACCTCAGGAATCGACTTCACCGTTTCACGTCAGAGGTAGCGCGCGATGATCGTCGACGAACCCCGTCGACACGTCCACCATGTTGGGATGGGGACCTGGGGATGGTAGCGCGTTTGGGTCACTCTCGACATCCCCATCGACGATCTCGCTGTCCGCGGCACCAGTCAACTCGCGCACATTGCCCGGAAGATAGTCCTTCCAGCTTCTGAACAGATACCTGGTGAACTTCCTCAGCTGCCTGAACTTGCAGTAGGTGGCACCCTCTGCGGACTCCAGCTGCTGCGTTTGAATAAGGAACCCCTTCTCCTTGAACGTCTGCTCCAGCTTCTCCCTCTGCAGTGACTTCCGTGTTTTCCTCTTGCGTCGACCTTCCTCCTGATTGGTGGTCCTTTGACACGGAGCAGGCTGAATCCTCTCGCCAGCCGCGCTGAGGAACGCTCCCGTGGAGGAGCCTGACTGTCCAGCCGACTGTTGAAGAGCTTCTCTAGGGAAAAACTCGTAGCCACGCATACTCTTGTCTCCAGTTCCGCTGTAGTACCTGAAGTTACCTCCGGAGTCCACCGACAAGCTCTTCTTCTCCTGCAGACTCGGCTTTGCGCCACCGGTAAACTTGAACTTGCATATGCTGACCTCCGTCGCGGGGTTGTTGTTGTTCTCGGTGGGCATCGGCGGGATGAATATCGCGGAGCGTTTCCTCTTGGTCGGTTGGCTCTGGCTCTGACCGACTGGTGCGTTCCTCTTCGGTCTAGGGGAAACGGGAGGCGGCACTGGCGCGGTTTGCGGTGTAGGTTGCGTCGGAGGTGATGCCACGGGCGGACTCTTCGTCTCCATCATGGAGTAGAGGGACTTCGGGACGATCTTCTGCTCCTTCGGTTGGTCCGCTGGTCTGGGACAGCACTTGTCGTTCTGGGTCATTTTTTGGTAGTAGAGGAGCTGAGATTGGAGAGCCATGGGATGGATGAACACGCCTGCGTTGGGCCAGTAAACGAAGCCAGGGTTGGCGCTGAGCATGGGGTCTATTATATTATTATTATTATGATTCACATTGGCACCCACACGAGCGATGGAGTCTACTGGACGGTACCCAGGGTCCGAAGAGAACGTGGTGCCTATGCACTCGACCTCCTCTCCATCGCTGGACGTTTCACTCTTCACGTGGCCAGATTCGTAAACGTTCCCGTGCTTCCGTAGCAGCCTGATCTTCAGCTGATTCAAGTCCCTGATGCAGAGGTTCAGCGGCTCGTCCTGCTCCTTCGAGTGCTCCATCAGCCCGAACGTTCGACGAGACTCCTGCGTCAGCCTCTTCTCCAACAAGCTGCTGATCCTGTTTTGCACGTCCGTCCTCTGGAACGGGATCTGCGGCGAGACTCGCTCGCGACAATCGAGCTTGTCCCTGGGCGACAGCCTCCTCTCCTCGTGGCCGGGTGTGCCAGGCAGTATGGTCCCGTAATTCTTGTAGATCAGGTGGCAAATGTCCGCCTTCTTGGGCTTCCGACCTCTTCTCGGTTTGCTGTTGTCCAACGTGATCTCGCCCATGTAGGGCAGGTCCGAGTACTTCATCGGCGGTCTGCTGGACGCCTGAGACTGGTGCGCGTGGTTATGGTGGTTGGGATTGAAGCCATGGGAGGAGGTCGACGTGATCACGGACCTCCTCGAGCCTGAGGGCTGACTCGAGTTCGCTGTCGAACACTGAGGGGACGATATCTGAGGACAAAGCTCCTGTTGCATCGCAGCAATTCGTTGCAACCAACCGTGCACATCGGCGATGGGGCTGGGCGTCGAAGTCGAGCTGGTCGGCGCTGGGCTAGGAACCGTCGGCTCCGCCATGTGCGTCGGCGATGAGTTCAAGGCTTCTTGGGCCAGCGACGCTTCGTAGTGGTCCAGGTACTCTGGGGGCAGTGCTTGGTGGTGGAACTTGAGCTTCCAGCGGGACTTCCTCCGTCCTCGACTGCAACAAATTTTGGGAATCCGGACTGGTATTAAGACGAGTCGTTTATTCGTAGGTAGATATGTTTTAATTGCGGTGGATTGTTGTAGGTGGGGAGGATTGGGGAATGGGTGGAAATTTTTGTATGGTATTAGGGTGAAGCTTCTGTATGGATGATTTAGAGTTGATTTGTTTGATGTTGATGATGTTGATTGTGGATTTTTGTCATAGAGGTTATTTATATTTTGGGTGTTGGTAAGAATGTGTTATTTAGTTTAAACTCTTAGACAATCTGGTGCTCTGTGTTTAATGGAATTGCAATGCATATTCAAAATAAATTGCAGATCGCGTTTATGTGAATCAAAAAATTGTAATATCTTTAGAAGTAAGGCAGATGGATCCCTGATAAGATCACCATAGATGACACAAGATGCCGGTAGGGTACATGCTCTTCTTTGATGGTTCGACAGCTAAAGAACAACTTTCTGAATAGAATCAACCCAGAAAGCTAGTAATAAAATGAGGATCCTAAACGTAAAACACCATGGCTAGATTGTAGCATCGTCAACAATTGCAGAACCTGATATTCACGCTATAAAAATTAGGTTCCCAAGAAACTTAATTTTTATTGTAGTGTATAATTTAAAACTACAGTCAGCCGAGATTCATAAGTTCCATAAGACCAGATTTATATTTAACATGAAAAAAAACGTACAGAAAGTGATGGATTCCCTTTCAAGTTCTCCCAAAAACTGTCTAATTTAGAAATAAGGTCAGTCGGGACCCCAGAAGTCCACCTGAGGTAAAAACGATTTAATGGGAAAGCAGAGATTTCGGTCGTAAAGATAGCGTCAAAATAGAGCCCGGTCCCGTCAAGCCTAATAACAATAATTACGCATTGACGAGATAGTGGTCTTTCGTTAATGTTGTTTTCCACGTAGCTGCATTCCAGACCACACCTCGACGGTAATTTATACCGCGTTTAGCGTGGCACCATCTAGCTAGCGTATGCACGGTGCCACGTCTCTCGCGGTCCTCTTCTATCGTTCTGCCTCTAACGCGTGTTTTAATGAAATTCAATAACGGTAATCGACTCGCGGCATTTCAGCGACGTACCTAAGAAATCATTTTTTTGTCTGCAACGACTACGCAGAGGACTCGCTGCGTAGACGGAACGAACCAGTTTCCCTCCGGCGCCTTATCCTTCTTGCTCGGCCGTCTAAAGTGCTTTCTCGAGCGGCGCGAGTTTTACGTCCGAAGGGGTCGTTAGAGGAGGAAACGTGTCAGCCGACACGCAGGACGAGAACCGAAGCGAACGCGGAGATGCCGTAGGTAGAAAAATAAATGTTGCTTGTCGGTGAAAGGTGTTGGACAAATTCAACGGCCATCGATCGTTAACGCGCGTACGTCTCTAAGAGGAGAGGAATTTTCAGAAATTGTTTGGAAAGAAACTCTTGGTCGCAACATTTTATCGCGTTTTATGGGAACATTTAAACATATAAAAACTGGTCTCGTAATGTCGATAACATAGCGTTACTCGAGTGAGCATTTGAAAAAAAAAAAAACCACTAGTGTATGGTCGACCGCTTCGTGACCACAAGATACATTTGAAATCGAAAAATCTAATATTTTCTTAAATTTAATATCTATCAATGCGAATGTAAACATGGTTTGTGTTTCAATCTAGATGTTTCTAAATATTAAGTTTTTGGTTGTATACAAATATGTGTATATTCTTCGAGGATAAATAATTTGTATTTACTGTTAAATAAATAAATCTAATTGTAAACGAAAGATAATAGTGAATAGTAAATTACCTTGGTCTTCCTCTGTTATTGAGATCCGAAACAGTCTGGCCTGGGCTGTCATCCAGCTCCTGCATCTGATGATGGCTCGCCTCGTGAACGTGGCCATGGTGTTTACCATCGATAGACGTCAGAGATATGTCTGCATCTACTTGCGGACTATGAAATTTACCATTAACCATCTGCCATGGCCAAGAAGCAAGGTATATAAAAATATAATCTCGTAACACGTTTTGTTTCTTGTGATCTACAAACTATACGTTCTTTTTAAATCTTTTGGCAATTAATTATTTTTCATTTTATTATTTCCAACACATTCACGTGTACTACTAAATAAACGCAATAATATCTTGATATATTCAACGGTGCTTTGAGTATATTTATAATATATTCTTATATTTATACTCTTACATTTGCAACAAATGTACTTTTGCTACTGCATTTTTCATAGCAAACTTTGACCAAAAGATGAATTTATTTCAACTGGATCTAAAAATTGCTCGAATAGAACGACTCGCGGTTCGAGCTTAGGGTCTCGCAGGGGAAAGCGAGTTGCACGAAGATGCAATTAACACATGGGAAGCGGCGATTAGCATAATCGTAGACTCACCTCAACGCATTCGTGTCACGACTCCGTTCCTCCTCCTCTTGAGGCTCCTGCTTGACCGCCATGTGGAGCAGAGGTGGCAACGGACACTTTATATGCGACGAGTGATGCAGATGATGCTGCAAAGATGTGCTGTCTGTGGGGACACCGTCTATACCAGTAGATTCTGCGCGAGGTACGACTTCCTCGGTCTGCATAGTGCCCCCTGAAACATAAAACGCAGTTTGTTATCTCGGAGAAGTCGATTCAATTATCAGGTAAGACCAATTTTAATGTTGACAGCGTTTCGTGAAAATTTTGCAACCTTTGTTTCGTCTCGCTTGCAATTATAGTGTACCAACTGAGGTTGCAGGAATGGCGGACGAAACTTCATTGACTTGACATATTTTTAGATTATTTTGATTATTTTCATGACTAATTAGTAATTTTCGTGTATGTTTTAGCTACTGTGATTTTAGTTTATTTTAGTTTAGTTTAGAATCTAGGATCTTAACATCAGTGGGAGGCTTCGAAGAACTCAATGGGGGAGCTAACAATCGTGAAAGGGGCCTGGAGTTTGAGCTCTAGGAATGACGAAAAAAGTAGTAAATACTTTAAGTAGTATGGGTGAATTTTTGTTGATAACTAACGAATCGATTTTATACAGCCATTATTCAATGCCAGTATCGACAAGAAAGAAATAATATCCAAAGAATACTTTGAAATTTCAAGGGGAATATAAAATATAAAAAAAACTTGGAAATATTTGAATTATTAATGATCGCCATCCACTCCCAAATTCGTATTAACATTCAACATTACCATCTACAAAGCCTAATGGAAAGAAACTAAAATGAGCACGCTCATCAGTATAAATACGCCCATTGCCAAACTCAAATAAAATTCCACAATCGAAAGATCGTTCAATGCCAATGTCGTCGCAAATAACCTCTCAGAAAAAGTAATTCTTTTAAACAAGAATCGAAGTGTCGCGAAGAGTGACGCAAGGAACCCAACAATTAACTTCGCCTCACCTGTTTGCACTGCAAACGCTTGTCCTAAGATTCTTTATTTTTTCGCCTTTTGACCACTTCGAATAGAGACTGGTTCCCACAGAATTTCGACTTTCCGTTTCGCGGAATAGTCGATAATCGTATGCATATAGGTCCACAGGAAAGGTTGCGCGTGGGCACCATCCGCTGTACCGACTTTTGCCTCGCGGTACAAACCTGTACGTTGCGGAATATTCATAACCTTCTCGTTAATGAAACATTGTCGGATTAACGGCGAGCGTGAGACGACGCGTTTTCTATGCGTGACCGTGCACGCCTCGCGGACAAACGGGCGTAAGAAATGGAAGAAACTGAAACAAATGCCCACATGCAAATCGTGGAAACGAGTATGGCGGGGCGTTACACCACCGCGGCCGGGTCTGTGCAACGTGTGGGCACACCAGACGACGTCCAAGGCTTCGAAATCGTATAAAAGGAAAACGCGGCTGCCATTCGTTACGCGACGTATCGCCTTAGGGATGCTTTGAAACGCAGAACGTCATCTATTATTATTTTACGTAATGTTCTCGTGAGGGAATATGTCTTTTCATGGCTCGAGAAATAGATTGTTTTGTTGACTGAGGTCTTCGGAATATTTCTAAGAAATTTTATCGAAAGAGTTTTAAAATTGCCAATGTTATCATTTTTTATATCACACCCTTAGTAGACGGATTGAATTTTAAGAGAATGCTCTTTTATTTAGGGCCAAAAAATAGATTCTCTGCTTCATATTCTTGTTATATAAAGCCTGTAAAATATTCCTGCAAAATTATATTTAAACAATTTCCAAGTTCCCAAAGGTACTGTTTGTATCACAGTCCCATTAAATAGATCAAATTGAACATTTCCTGAAAGGTGGCTTCCAGGTTTGAAACCTCCTTCATTATTTAGTGAAAAAATGCTTGAATCGTTAAACTTACATTTCTAACATTAATCTCCATATATATATAAAACATCTAAGATGGTTTCGAATCTAAAAACGTTTAATGCTCGTGTAAAACCTTCGAAATATATTCCCACGCATTGTTACCAGCACATGTTAACCAAGGCGTTAGCAAATAATACAAGAGCACAGGCGTGTAAAAATATCGAAGAACAGTCAACGTGAAATACACGCTCCCAGCATCCTGTGTTCTTCGGAGCGGGATAAATATAACGTGATAATGATAAATTGATAACAGAGTTCCACGGAGAGGCGAAGGAACCCCGGGTGGTACGATTATTTAACCGACAAGACGGTCCGACGAATGACGCCGATGACGTTGGTATCAAAGAAAGACTCGTAACTCGTAGACGAGCGGAAATAAGAAGTAGAAAAAAAGATGGAGAAGGCGGGGCCGAGACGAAGAAGCGTATTGTAGATACATACTGGCTTTACGGCACTGCCGAATAAAAATATTCCTCGTACGAAAATAGAAACCGACACGCGTGTACGATCCATCCAACACCCGCAATTCCTGGACCATACTTGGCATTAGTCGATCGGATTTCACGCTCTCTGAGAATACGTTACGGATTAACGATGTCGAAAGTAAACTCGATGCGAATATATTCGGTATTTTTGTATCGTAGGTAGATTTGATGACGGGCTTACCAGATCGTCGAAGGATTTTTACAATTTAGTAATTAATAGAGGGCTTAATACTCTAACAGTCAGTGAAAATATTTCTTTATTATTCTATCCTACTGTTTTTACTATTTTATTTTGAATTCACTATAAATATATCCTAACTAATTTTTTTAAATGAACATTTATGTGTTAAACATGTGATACGAGACACTATGATTATAGATCGAATTCAGGCAACACAATTATTCAACTGAAGGGCAACAATATATTCTATTTAACAATGTATCAAATTAAATAGCAACGTTAGAAAATTAAATTTTAACGAACAGTTGAATTTTTAAAAGGTCTGAAGCTATTTTCGCACGATCTCCAATGATAATCAACGTTCATCAGCTAAAGTTACGAGTAATTCCCTCTGAGCACGTGCGACAAAAGTTCTAATAACCCTGGCGCGTGCCATTTAAAATTAAACGCGCGGTCACGTGCGCGAATTAATCAGAAGTAAACGTCGTTCGACGCTACAATAAAAAAATAATTTCATACTCTTCTCATCATGTAGATGTTTAAAACACGTTTCATCACAGTCACCAACACTCCTTAACGTGTATTATAATTCAAGCTTCTCGCTTCATGAACGATAAAATCAAATTTATTTTAGATGTACAAGCAAGTATATTCGCCAAGGCGATATCTGCTATTGAAATAGTAGAGCTGACTTTATCTTCATCAATGTAAACAAACGAAAGTGGAAAAACAAATGATTAGACCGAGGATGTATACGCAAACTCTAACAGATATAGAAATGAAACTTAAGTTAAAGTATCTCTCATCTTCTAAACATTGTAACATTTTATATTGTTGACACTTGATGCATTTTTGAATTTACTCGCACCCTCGTACATATTCCTACATTTCCTGTAGCCATAAATGCGTAAACTTTCGTCGTTCACAAAAGATGTATTGGGTCGTCCTAAAAGTTCGTGCCATTTAGACTTCTATTTCTCAAATTAATATGTGAAACATACTCTCAAGTGTCGTAAGAAAAGATAATCTGTCTCATTTCGCAATAGTTTCTCACCTCTCTCAGATAATCATTATACCGTTACTAGAAAATTTCTGTGGTTTTTTTTATTAAATCTCGACACAGTCTTCGGTACGAACTTATGGGACGACCTAATATCAAATTTAAAGAAACACCGCCTTCGAAATCCCAGGACGAGTTAATTCGTCCCGTCTAATAAAAAAGCGCGTTCCAGCGACGAGTTAACTCGTCATCCCCAAAGGTTAAAGAAGCACCGCGCGTGGACCGCGAAAAATTCAGGCTGGGCTAATATCTGCTTCCGAACGGCGAGCGTCCAGCAGCGCAGGCGAACGGGTCCGAAAATTCGTCTTGGCTTTCGCGATAAGCGCACGCCAAAAACGGGAGCAATATAGCTTACCAACGAGTGTCTGTGATGGTATTAATAACGGCGTGTGCGGGAGGTGGCCCGATTCATTGAAGACCAGTTATAGAATGATGCAGGCGGCCGCGTAACTACAATTTATTTTTTGGCTATTTTTAGCGGTTGGCGTAGCGCCACTATTTTCGGTTCTCTCAAATTTCTCACTCCATATTTGGGATTATGAATGACGGGCCCGCGGCGCGGTGTATCTTTACGACTACGCCCGTCTGAGACACTTTCGTTGCCTCGGTACCGCGACGTTTCGCCAGACCGGCTATTCCCTATCTTCAGGGATCCATTTGCGCTCGCGTCAACGAGCCCCCGATCGCTCCACGCGGGAACAATGCTCGCGAACTCTGACGTTTCGACACTCGATCCTCCGAAACACTCGGGGGAATGTTCACGGTCCTGATATGCTCTAGGGATGTCGAAGAAAAACATGGAATAACGAGTAAAAGAAATTGGAATTTCAAGCTTGGAATTGAATTGTATTTTACGTTGAAGGAGTACTGATCGATCTGTGTAGTTCTTCAATTTCTATTAGTCGTTTATTATTCAAATAAAATTTTAGCTCTCACGAATGAAACGCAGAGAATTATTTATTCGTTGAATAAAAATTCGAAATTCAAGCTTGGAATTAAATTTTATTTTGTATTGGGAGAGTATTGATCGATCTGTGTAGATCTTCAATTCTTATTATTCTTGCCTCTTCCAAATAGAAGATACATAGCTGTTTTCTCGTTAAATGAAACTCAAAAATAAGAAGCTGTAAGTGTGGAAAGAATAGAAATTGATCTGCATGACTCTCTAATCAAACGAACATCTCTAATAAATCACCACACTGTATTCCTCCTAATCACCTATTACTCATTACGAACGGAAGACGCACACAACTCCTCATTAGCCATCCATTACATAGAAAACAAACCTCGAGGCGTAGAATTAAATCCCTGTACAAGTAGAAAGATTAGAAACTCATCAAATAAACATCGTTGACAAACCACAACACTCTTCTCGTCAGCCAAATAAAATTTAGCCAATCTCCAAACTTCAAACAATATCTGACGAATAAGAGCACCGTATGAAACATATCACCATCTTAAAATTCGTAATCAAGAATCAAAATCTATTCGCTATTCGAACGTATCCAGATGAGAACCGTTCATCTCCGAGGTCAAAGCACGTGGGGTCTCGAGAAGCTGCGACACCCAAAGAACCTCGTAGCCGCCTAGTCCGTCAAAGCGGAGGCATTTCCATCTAGCACGGCGCGTGTACACAATTACGGGCAACAAGTGGACGATTCTCAGCGAACAGCACGCGGGACGCGGGCGAGCATGTGTTCGGTCTCAATTGGCAGGAGCGCAAGTAGGTTAAAAACGGTAAGTCAGCTGCAAAGCTCAGGAATATGTCAAGGCGATCGCAGGGAGGAAAACCGACGGGAATTCTTCTTCGCGTGCGATCCCCAGCGATCAAAGACGAATGAGAAAGACTACTTCTCGAATCGACCTGGAAGGGTCGACGAAGATACTACTTCCAGATTTAAGTCTCGAGTCGTGGTAGGTTATTCGAAGCCAGAAATCGAGTTGTATCAGCAGGAAGGACCATGATCCACTGGCCTGGTTACGAGGACACCCCGAAACACACCCACAGGGTCGTCGCAACGACATACAAACTGCCCACTCGTTATCACCCAACGCCATCACTGCCTTTACGTTATAACTCGCTTTTGCCATCGATTTTGCGTCGCAGTAGAGTCCCCAGGGTTCTGGTAGATACGTAATAGTGGACCGAGAATAAGATAAGACACCAAGGGTACACCGTCAGGGGTCAGGGTCCAGATACCATCTTCACATAAGCGTGCTATACACCAAGTCCGAGTTCATCTCTGGAAGAAATTGTTCCTGGTTCCATAATCTCACACATTCCCCTTAAACCAGGGATCATCTTTCCAGCTCCCGGCTATAAAAAGCATCGGACACGTCGTCCTACAATCGAGCAGCGTCTGGCCAAGTGTAGGCTCGTGTCTTTTCAGGAAAAACCTCTGAAAAATCTCTACCACGATGTAACGTCCCGATGGTTCCTTACCTGTCACGGGAAACTTGCTTTCGGGCAACATGAACGCGCCCTGCTGGAGGATCCGTCTTCTCGATAAATCCTGGTCGACGGACCGCGAACGCGTAGTCTCGAACCAACCGAGGTTCGTGCGATCGGTGGTCCGGTCTTCCAACTATCACTCGCGTTATCGTCGTAATCGCGACGGGACACGCGAGCAGAGGTACGATGAACTCCCGCGGACCCGTGGTCGGACACTTGTTGTATCGCGCGGCCGTGGTGTCACTTCGCGAAGGTGCACGCGACTCGACGTGGCTGGAAAAGCAGGGAAAAGCGTCTGGCGGGATAGACCGTGCGCGGAATGGAGGAACGGTGGTCGATGGCAGAAAGGTAAGAAGCGGATAGAGGGCACGTGTCTGGGATGGGTTATCCGCGGACGAGGAGAGGCCCGATACAAGGAGGAAGATGAAGATAGGTGGATCGAGCGGGAACACGGGAGCAGAGGGGATGAGAAGGAGACGGTCGGAGTTAGAGGGAGCGAGAAACGCGAAGAACGGAGCAGTCGTCCGTTTTGAGGCAGTTTTGGCACTGTTACCAGCACGAACGGCCAAGCACCAACCCCGAGCAGCGCCTCCACCTCCGCCGAGAGACGAGCAAGACGACGACAGCGACGGCGGCGGTGGCGAAGAAGACGAGCCAGAGGTCCCCCTTAGAGGAAGAAGAGCGAGGGGAGGCGAGGGCGTATATTCTTGATTTGGGCGGATGGAAATCTGAGATTGCTCCATATCGGGCTGTGCGCCGTGACCACGGAGGTGCTCTGTAATAGCAGACATCCGAACCTTCTCTCTCTCTCTCTCTCTCTCTATCCCTCCCCCTTCTCGCTTCTGGCTGTCTCACTCCGTCGCAGACTCCTTCGTTTCGATCTTTCTTTCATCGCGTGCCTCGCGATGCTCGTTTTCTTCTACCTCCTCAGCGTCCGTTGCTGGATAATGTTTTTTCCTTTATCGATGCTTTCCTTCCTTTTTCCCCCTTTGCACTTTGATCTTGCCTTGTGTTCACCGGGTCCGTTTGCTTTATTTTCTTCCGCGCTTAACAGTTCTCCTTCGCCTCTCCGATCTTGTCCGTATTTGTCTCTAGTTTTCAATGGCTCGGGTTTATTTGCGTATTTTTCGCGCGTGCTTCTTTTACTTTGTTTCCTGTTTTCATCTTTCGCGAGGCTTACGCTCGTTCCGAGGGTTCGTTAAGAGGTGTTTGGGTTCACTGGGGTCAGAACCTGAGAGAAATTCGCTATTCAATCACTGTCTTGGTCTGAAAGTGTATAAAAATGGTTACACTGTATATTATTGCTGTAAAAATTGTCGTTGCTAGATTCTTTTTTATTATTACTGGTAGGAGATTAAATAAACTATTGATAAAATATATTCCCTAGTGTAATATAAATTAATAAATACATGAATGACATTCAATAATAGATTTATACTTCTGTTCTAAACTATCTATTTCAATTCAAGAAGTTTCTACATATTTATAATTGTGGTGTATGCATGTTTGCCTGTGTCTTGCCTTGTGTCTTAGTGCTACTCTATCAGGATCAAATTTGACATGGTCACGTCTGTATTTCGGAGCACTCGTACCATCAAATTTTGAAAAATTTCCCCGTGTATGTACTCAGACATGACCTACGAGTTCATATGTATCGAGTTAGTTAGTTAAGTTAAATTGAGTTGGGTAATGTATTAATGTATGAATTAACCCTTGCTTTATTGTATATCTCAGAAGTGGCTGCACAGAAAATTGCGAAATTTGTTACGGCAAGGTACCAATGTCGTTCAATTTTTGTCCAAATTCAAGGAGACAGCGTGGAGAGAATTCAGCAACAACGTCGCCAACCTTTCTCAGTGGTGATTCAGTAGACTCGGTTTCTGGCTGTCTCCCGTTTCCCTGGCTTTCCCTTTCTTCTCTCAGCATCGGTCTTGTTCGATTTGCCAATGCGTATGATGCAAACACGAGGGTATATTTAACCCCGCGAACCACCAAGGAGGATACGAGCCGCGTGCAAGCCACTTCTCTTTCGCGATTCTCTTGTTCACTTTCTTTCTTGCTCTTCCTTTTAAACGCGTTCCGCTTTGAGTCCTCGTGTGGCACCTTCGTGCGAGGTGTGCGATGAAAAAGTTTTCGATCGAACATTCAGCGTGGTCGATTAAAAGGATCGAAGGGTTGTTAAACACGTCAGTCAGTCGTGACTTATAATATGCTTCTCGTTCAGACCACGACGATTTTTTTTTTTTATTGTGGTACAGTATGATGGTTTGCTAGTCGAAGGGATTCAATTTTAGAAATTTAAGGATTTATTTCGAATATGAATTCTTTACTTTCATTTATAAGCTCGATGTTCGTAAGGCTCCAGGTTTCTCAAATAATTAGATACTTTAAACTTCTCTTTTCAACACTGATTTTTATACAATCATCAATTTTGTATGATTTGGTTATGCAGGTTGTAAATGGACGTATACTACAGGGCGAAATGTCTGTTAACAGGAAGTGCAAGAAAAACTTGATACTATAATATATTTTCTTTTGCTTTTCAATTTATTCTTTAATCTTCAATTATTCCATCTATGTTAAATAGTACAATCACCGAGCACCAATTATGATTTCATTTATTTCATAAACCTGAACAAGAACAAATACATAATATAAGCGATAGTAAACCGATTCCACGAGCCAACAAATCTTCCCAAGAAAATAATCATGGAATTTCCTCGACGATTTTCAAGGATCGCGTCTGCTCAATCGCAATAATTATACCGAGTTTACGCTCTCGAATTCCGAGAGCCTTACGGTCAGCGGACCGACATAACTTTTGTGCCCTCCTTTGCCTGTTATTTCTGCGCATTAGTGGTTCAGCCAGGAACGACTATGCCTACATATGCACCGGTTAATACCTAACACGTTCGCTCTCAGAGCCAATGTCGCGAGTAAACGTACACGAGCACAATGAAACGTGGTTAAACCAGATAGGACAGAACGCAATTAACCGTTTAACACGTTCACTGTCGCCATGTACCGGGTGGTTCCACCACGTTGCAACATACGATCCACTTCGTTCATTTCAGGTAAATAAATTTGAATTCCACGTTTCACTATGTTAATTATATTAAGAGGATGTTTTAAAGAGATCTTCTAAAGGAATGTATTAAAAAATAGATGAATTTTTCTGCATGAATTTTTTGTGCTGGATCGTTTAGTTGAGTGTCAACTGTCATGTGGAAGGGCACAGAGAAATCGAGTTCGAAGGGTTGCATCTCTGGTGGCGATGAAAAATTTACAATATATAGTAATCACGATTATTTTTGAGAGATTATCCTCTTAGAGGATACTGACATAGAGATGTATATTTTCCAAGCTATTTGAAATTCTATAACACAGAAGTAACGATCTCCATTCAGATTCAATATTCACAATTAAATTCTCCGATAATGTAACGCAAAAATCTCGTTACAAAATTGGTATTAATCTAGCATACGCTAATTCTGAATTTTCTACAACACGGTAAGAATTTAACCGTTAATTGCACAAATCGAAATGCGACGAAATAATGTACATTGTTTTTGTAAAATTCCCTTTGTAATATAAATTGTAATAAATATCGTAGAATGCATAAATACAGATGTAGCCTTCATCTAACGATATATAAAATTAGTAAGAAAGAATAGCCAAAAAATAATCGCCAGTAATGTTACAATTTTTCTGTGACTGGTGCAGTGAACGACTCAATTAACCGCGTAATAGGAGTCTTAACAGTACGATCTTCCATAGACCTAATCTCTCCCCTACCTGGTAGGCTGCCAAGTGTCATAAACTGTATTATAAAGAAGCCTTTTGCGGACTCCCTAGCAAGAAGAAATTGTAAAATATCATCCCGTATTTTTCTCTTCCCGCGTACGGCCGTATAAATATACGCAACGAAAGCTAACATTCCGCGACCGCGTCGACCAGTTCAGCGTACGCGTTCACCAAGGAACGACGTAATCCAGCCTAACGCGCTGTCTCGCGGGTTAATGAGCCTTGAAGGCTCCACCGCTGGTGGATAAGTCGTGTTTCCCACAGCGGTGCACCGGACGACGTGCAATCTCCGCTCTTCGCCGGTACGTCCGTCCAACCGCAACGTTCATCCGCTAATGCACGCGATTTATTACGCGTGCTGTTATCTATCGCGTGTACGCGAACGAGACGTCGCGTGGGATCGTTTAGCGTTTGGAGTTAGAGGGAAAACCGTGTCCGCTCGCCGGATGTCTGGCACGGTGGACAGATACGGGATAATGTTGCGTTGTACGGGCTTTTCGCAAACTGAAGGTTCGAGCAACGAGAATTTCAAACAGAGGAACATTTTCTTATCAAATAATTAAATTAACCCTTTGTGTATTGCTTTCAGATAACTTGGAATAATTTCGTATACAAATTAGTAATACGAAGCTGTTGTAGTTTATGTAACATTTATATATATTTGTGTCTAAAAGAAGAAAGTTTGTATTGTACTTTAGTATGAACCTTTGTATGAAACTACCATTTGTATTGTACAGGACGTTTATAGTAACTTTTACTGTATAAAGTAATTTTAGTATACATTTAAGACAATTTTAGCATCTAAGTAATTTTCGGAAGAAATTTAATCGTTTCACGAAAAGGTTTAAAGAATACCAAAAATTTAACAAGTGCAAGGGGTTGAACGACATTTTATCTCCCAAGGAAAACCTGAACCTACGATAAACGAAGCTCGAGCAGTGCTCGGTGGTCGACTTGACCTTTCATCGTCGAGCACGTCGAAAGGTAACGATGACTTCTCCTTTTTCGCTCCGAGTGCGATCGTACGTTAAAACGACAGCTTGTCAGCCGTCTTGTATACTCCAGAGCTGTCGCCATAGCTGAGTAGCATAACGTAGCCCCGTAAGCGTCGCTCGGATAAAACCTGGTGCCAGGACGCGAAGGGGAAAGTAGCTGTTGACATATCGCTGCCAGGTATTGGGACACGTCGAGCAAGTAGGCGGGGTGGCTTAACCTATGCGGGATATAATGTACGCCTCCGCGATATTGGACACAGACGCATAAACTCGCGACACATTGTCGTACCAGCAACGTGACGTCTCTCTATCGACGGTAGCCTGAGTGACGATATCCGCGCGAACATGAATTAAATGTCAGATGGATTCGAGATACATTCTCCGCGCCTTCGGATTATTCGATCTGCTGATATTTAGTTGATTGGTTTGATGATTCTTTTCCTAGAACGAACGAGAATTTATTCAGAAATTGATGGAACTTCAAGCTCAGGCCCTCGAGACTTTTCTAATTTCTTTCTGTTCAGATTCTAGGGGAAACTTTTATTGTTTTTCACAAATAGTGGAGTGTAAATAATCTTTTGATTTTCATTTGAATACATTGGGTTGTCCAGAGAGTTCGTGCCTATTTTTAAGAAAAATTCGAAGTGATATTCCACAAGTACCATTTTGTTCCACAACCTTTCTACCTTTTAAGGGATGCACACATTCGTTTTCAACTATTCCGATATATTCAGACCTGTAGAATTTACCAAAAATCTACATGGACTTTTTAAACAAACCAATAGTATAACGGTAGTATTTGTTGCTTTTAATGTAAAAGGAAGTACGCAATTTTAAATTTATCTGGTCGAGCGACGAAGTGGAATTTTTGAACAAATAATTCGATATTTTCTCAGGCTTGGATGTCAAAGCCCTCATTGGAGAGTCCACCAGCAGATCCAGGACGAGACGCAGTTATTGCTCTTAATATAAAAGGAAGTACGCCATTTTGAATTCTCCGAAGATGCAGTTATTGTGTCATTTCAATAGAAGGTACATCCATCACTATGCAACCGTGAAATGACTACCAGGAGTGCTTTCGATCGAGGCAATTGTATACAAATAAAACAAGATGCCTCGAGAAAATGGAGGAAGTAGTTTTACAATTTCTTTTACTAGAACATCGCTCTACTCCTATCATATATCATCGATATCATAACGAAGCCAAGTTTATTTTCTGTTAACTTTCTCATAGAAATTTCACCCATCCAATTGAGATGAAACTTTTACAAGCTTTTACTGGGCATGATTTCCTGAGTGACACAAAAGGTACAAGAAATATAATGTTCACGTAGAAGAATTATTAGGTTGTCCCAAAAGTTTCTTTCGTTTTATTAATAATTAGTACATACACAATATTTTATGTTTTACGTTACATTACTAAATTGTGCACGATTCAATTTGCTCCATTACTGTTACCACATGAATATCTATGAAATTAGATTGTCTATTTATATAAACACGACCACATCAAATAATTGAGTGCAACTCGCGAAAGAAACTTTCGGGACAACCTAATATAAAACAGGAAATGGGCGGCGTTCACGTGGCTATCGCAAGGATATTCCGCGTATGCGAACCCCATCAACCATCGACGCAAAAGTGGCCAATTATAAGTCCTTAATGCTCATAAACAAGTTTTCGGCATTTGCCAATCGTGGGCTGCGGTTATCGACGACACGTATTTCGGACTCGAGTTTTGCGCTCTTTTCGCTGACGAACCGGTTCAAACACGCCACCCATCGACGTATTGCTGGATAATTAATCCATCGGAGCTCCCCGGGGAAGCCATTCTTGATAATGAAGATTTCTTTTCATAAATCTCTTCGACGCATTCGATAAATTGTGTAAGCGTAAAATTATCAGTCGATGGGTTACGGTGGAAGCTGATGGCCAATGAATGCGAACCATTAGTAGTGAATACACATCTTCATTATTATAGTAATAAGTGATCGT